CTTGATCAAAAATAAAATAAATAATAATATCACTAAGCAAAACGACCGAGGTCCGGGCCGGCTTTACGATCAACAACAGAAAAGAATCACGCGCGCCTAAAACCTGCGCGCCCACGCAGTCGCTATTCTGGTCAACCACCCAGTCAACGCAATTACAAACGCAGCCGTGTTTAGCGCGGTATACTTAAATTTTAAACCAAACAATTTTCTATTACTTGCAAAAACTAGGGCGGATACCGTTGTAAGGGTATTCGCACCGACAACGTAGTATGCCATCACTGCGACCGCTTGCGTATGCTGACATTGCGAGTCGATATGAGTAGGCCCTGCGTCCGCGCGGTTTTATACCAAGTCCCGCGCACGACGCCTATCCGATTTCTGCATCGGAGAGTTATGGGACGGCTACGGAAGGGGCTAGGATCGTTGTCGCGTTGTTTGTGTTGTGTTGTTTCGTATGTGTGGGTGTGCGTTGTTTTAGTGGTTGTAAAAGTGATGTGCGCGTGGTGTGTGGGATGTGTCCTAGTCGATCGACGACGAGCCGCGCTTGGGACTTCAGCCCCCCAAGATGTCGGTTCGCGTGCGGGTCCGATAGAGGCGTATTACCGCGCGTACCCCCTATGCTACAGCGAACGAGAAACGCCCTTGGCTGGTCCACCTTGGTAGCTTTCGTACTGTGGACTGGTAGCTCGGTGGGGATACGCCCACCGAAGGGAGGTGACAACTCCCGTAAGGTGGAGGTAAGTTGTGCCTCGCGTAGGCCTTATCCTGTCGTAGGGGCTCGCGAGAGGTATGGCTGGCGCACTCGGCCGACGCGGCTTGCAAAAGCTCGCTGTATATTCACGACGAAGGATTTAAAACCAACTAATGCGTGACGAGGCCGGGAGGGTCCCACTCTGCCTCGTGCGGTGCCGGACCGATGCGCTCGACAGGTGGTGCCGTTGCCGGGGATAACGGAAGCCTACCGTTGTCCCTGGTGGAACGACATCCGGGTATGGGAATGAGAAAGAATTAGGCATGATTGAGTTGATGATGAGTGAGCGGAGTGATATTTTGTGTGGTTGTGCGTGTGCGAGACCTGAACACCAACGGATCTAATTGATAGCCTGAGGGATTGCGTGATAGGAAGACTGTGTAGAGGGTCTTTGGACAGAAGCTGACTCTGTTAAAGTAGGCTTGGACAACAGAGGTAGGGTCTGCTGAGATCTAAGGGATGTAGGAAAAAAGTGGGGAGCTTGGTAGAAGTATATCGGGGCGGGTTGCTGAGTGAAGCTTTCCATTTCTTTTCTTAACAGGAAGGGTGAGCAAAAGCAAGTCGACCAAGATGTCAGGAGGTGGGGGCGCCGCCCCGAGAAAGGCTGTCACGCTAGATGATCTTGTCGAGGCCCTGGACAAGCACGAGAAAGTGCCGAGCAATGCTCCGAAAGTCGACACCTTCCACTTCAAGGGGGAGCGGGTGTCTGACTGGTTGGATTAGACTGAGCAGGCGCTGGTGGGACTGTCGGACGAGGTCAAGTTTCAGCAGATCATGAACTACGTCCTTCATAGCCACCATCGCGAGGTGAGCAAGGTTGTGGACGCCGCCAATGGCAGTTGGGCAAGGTTTTGAGACCTGATGATGAGGAAGTACAGGCTGGGAGACGGCCTGCTGACCATGGCTGACTTGGAAGCCATGAATAAGGATGACTTTTCCACTATTAGGGCATTCGTGCACAAATTCAAGAAGAAGGCGAGGAAGGTGCACGGGATCTCTGAAGAGGCGTAGTGTGCCATATTCTTGGGGTTGCTTACTGGCACGGAGGCCTCAGAATTGATGAGTCATGGAGGAGGAAGTGAGAAACTCACCTGGGCCACTATCGATAAGGGAGTGGCGGAGGGGAGTCCGGACCAGGTGGAGCAGCACCAAATGCGGTTGCAGAGGCGCAAAAGAAAGGAGAGGGACGCCACCGCATCCGGGACTCTGGGGGTAAAGAGGATTGTTACGGACGTGCTAGCGGTGCTGGGGTATGATAATGAGGCAGAAGTGCAGAAAAGAGGGGTGACCGGCGCCCCAGGCCTGACATGAGGGGCAGTGGATAAGGAGACTGGACGTGAGGACTACGGCGGAGAGGAGACGGGATCCCATGTCCTGACCAAGGCCCAGAGGAAGCAGCGCAACCTGCTGCTGGGAGGTCAGGGATCAGGGAAGGGGCAAGCTCCTCAAGCAATTGCCGCGCCGCCACCTGCTGCCACGACGGCGCCAGTGCTAGCAGGGCCATCGCATATGGGGCCGCCACCAGTTTGTGGGCACTAGACGCCACATTGTCAGCTAGTGCCCTGGCCCAGTTGCAGCCACTGTACATTATGTGGAGGGAGTCAGGCCCACGCGGGAGAGATGGTCCCATATTCGGGCCCGCCGGCAAGTGGGGGCCCACCAAGCTACCCTGCGACTCAAGGTCAGTTTGTGGCCCAGCCGCCACCCTCCCAGCAGGCATCGCAGGCTAGCGTGGCCGGGGGAGGGAATCAAGAGCAAGGCGGCCAGGGCAATGGAGGCCGAGGCCAAGGCGGTCGAGGAGGTGGTGGCCGGGGCCGAGGAAGAAATGGTGGGGGGTGCGGAGGTGGTTGGAATGGTCAGGGAGGCCAGGACCAAGATGGCCAAGGCAGCCAGGAGGGGGGCCAAGGTTATGGGAGGCCCCGCGTTGATTGGCGGAGCGCCACCTGTTGGCATTGTGGCACTGTAGGCCACACCGTACGGTTCTGCCAACAACGGCGGGATGACGAATTGTTAGGGCTAATCTCCTCTTGTATGGATGGAGATATATTTGATAAGTGGGGGAAGGATATTGACCCCAAGATCCTAGGAGGGATCAGGCAAGAAGCCCTCAGGCGAGTGGCGGCAGGGCCACCAGCAGCCCCGACAATGTTCAGGATGTGGCAAGAAAAGGAGGATCCGGGTGTGAGGGTCGAGGAGATCGTGGACGAGAGCGAGGAGGTGACCCATTGATTAAAGGCAGGAACTATAAAGGAAGAACCTATAGTCGTTGAGTCGGACGATGAGGGGTTTGAAGTGGTGAGAGAGTCAGCCTCAACCATTTTGGAAAGAATGGAGGATTTGCTTGCGAAGATAGGCAGGTACCAGGAAAGGCTGAGGGCGATGTGTGACGAGGCCCGGGAGTGGGGAGTGAGCTTCCCTGGGGTAATGCTCTATGAGTCTGCCCCGGAATCTGCATCAGGACAACAGGGGTATCCAGGCATGGCGACGGCTGGGTCAGGTCCTAGGTCAGGGATGGCCTATAGGCCCCCTACGTCGCATGGAAGGGTATCGCAGGCCACGCAGACTAGGAGCCAAAGTAAGGGTGCCACTAGCCAGAGGCCTGGTCAGGCACCTCGCCGAGCACCTCCTCGAAGGGAACCCGAGCCTGAACGTAGGAAGGAAGTGGTGGAGGTTCAGGAGGAGGAAGAGGAGGGTGGTGATGAAGAGGATGAGAGACTCCGGCAGGAAGAGGATCGGCGAGCAGAGCAAAGGGCCAAAAAGAGAGGAGTCCAGGAGGAGGTCGAGCCGAGCCTCCGCGACAGCGTGCCAAAGAGGAAGAAGTACGTGGTCCGGATGGAGGAGGGTTTCGACGTGGAATGAATGGTGGACAGGCTTTTGGAAGGTCATCCTGGCATCTGCCCCAAAGCTGCGTGATAGTCTGAAGGGTCGACTCTTGCGGAGGTTGGTGCCCAACGTCCATCTAAGTACGATCCTACCAAGGGAAATAGAGTGGACAGAGGCAGGCACAAGGATGGATTGGAAGTGTGTGGCGTGCGGGTTGGTGGATCTGAAGGTGAGAGACCAACCTAGCATTGCGATGGTGGACATGGGCGCCTTAATGAACATCATCCGGGAGCGAGACGCGACTATGTTGGGATTGGAGGTTGACCACTTGGACCATGGCGTGTTGCATGGTGCCAATTGTAAGGCAGTTTTCTGCGGCACTGCGTCCAATGTGATGGTGGAGATTGGGAAGGTGAGGGCGCGGGCTTGCTTCTTTGTTATGCCCGACGTCGATCACCCCATCCTCCTGGGGAGGTCGTTCCTCTGCAGTACGGAGACTCTAGTCTTCAACAGGCACGATGGAACGATGATCTTGGCCCTGCCTGATCCGGCCTGTGGAAACTATGAGATCATCAAGTGCCGGAACACGGGACCAGGAAGTGGGAGGAATAGGCCAAACCTCGGCTCCTTTACCTTCGAGGAGTCCGAGTATGAGCGACGAAGGCTCCTTGAGGGACCTGAGGAGGAAGGAACGGCCGAGGTACTATCGTTGAGCCTTACCGATGTGAATAGGGCAATGGACGTGGTGGCGGCACACGACATAGCAGACCCCGAGGCAATAAAGACATTAAGGGAGCAGGTCTTGGAGAGCTCTCAGGTGGGAGAGGTGGAGTTGGTATATCGGCTTCCGGGAGGAAGGGGAGGCCCTGCAATGGCCCAAGCACGGACGACAAGTCGGCCTTTTTAGGGGAGGGCTTAAGTAGGGCTCCCAAAGGCGGTACAAGACCATAGACATGAAGTGCCGCGCGGTTCCCGTGCTTGTCACAGAGAACGAAGAAGCCTATTACGAGCGGGAGCGAGGGCTGATACGACGCATGCGGGAGCACRCATTGGCCGGGCCGTGCCGTATCAACGATGAGAATGAGGGGAAGCTGATAATTAGGGAACCAAACTTCCTTTCACCCCAGGAGAGGACCCTGATGGTGGAGACCATGAAGAAGAGACATTGCACGTATGCTTTTGATGACGACGAACGTGGGAGGCTGGATGTGGATAAGATTCCGATGATTCAAATCCATACCGTCCCACACGAGCCATGGAACTTGAGGGGYGCGCGATATCCTAATTCTGATAAGGAAAAGATGGTGRTGGATTACCTGCACGGCAAGATGCGTACGCACGTGGCCGACTACTCCAGTGGGCCGTACGCCTCCCCTTGGTTCTGTTTTATCAAGCCCAACGAGACGCTACGATGGGTGCAGGATTTACAGCGATTGAATGCGGTGATAGCGTGGGACGCGGGAGGGTTGCCGAACGTTGACGCCCGGTCAGAGTCATGCGCAGGAASGCCTATAATCTCTCYCATARACCTTTATTCTGGGTATRWCCAATTTCATGTATACCCGCCAGATAGGCCGGTGACAGCGATGCATACGCCAAGGGGGCTGATTCATATGAATGTAGCCCCTTAAGGATGAACCAATGCGGTGGTAATGGTACAAAGGCACATGATTAGGGCATGCAGACGGTTAGTCTACATATCACCCAACCCTATATTGACGATTTGGCGGTCAAGGGTCCGAAGGAGAAGGAGGAAGATGAAGTGGTGCCTGGAGTGAGGCAATTTGTCTGGAAGCATATCCAGGATATTGATCAGGTTCTGAGTCTGCTAGAGGAACACAACCTGACGGCGAGTGGTCCCAAGTCGAAACATTGTATGACGGAGGCCACGATTCTAGGTTTTGTCTGTAATGAGAAGGGGCGAAGGCTGGATGTAAAGAAGACAGACAAGATCATTGAGTGGCCAGTGCCCTTCCGCTCGATAACAGACATAAGGAGTTTCCTTGGGACTTGTGGCTTCTGGAGGAGCTTCGTGAAGGACTTTGCCGCCAAGACGGAGCATTTGAGAAAGTTGGTGCGTCAGGACCAAGAATGGCGCTGGGGTGAAGATCAGGAAGAGGCAATGGACAGGATGAAGGGAGAGTTTAAGGAAGGAGGTTTGGTGTTGGGAGCGCCAAACTGTGAGGCCACAGAGGAAAAACCATTCGTTATCGAGACGGACGCTGGACCAACTGCCTTGGGAGGGGTCCTGATTCAGGTAGACGCTGAGGGAAAGGAGAGGCCGATAAGGTTTGAAAGTCGTACCCTCAATACAACTGAGAGAAACTACTCTCAGTTTAAGAAGGAGACCCTGGCGGTACTCCACTGCCTGAGGACCTTCCGGAACTATGTTTTCGGCAGGAGGCTCATTTTGAGGGTGGACCCTACTGCGCTTGCATGTTCCCTGAAGAATTATACTCCATCTGACCCAACTGTCGCGAGATGGTTGACCTACATTTGGATGTTTAATTTCGAGTTGGAAAGGATTCCAGGGAACAAGAACAGGGCAGATGGGTTAAGCCGTGTCAACTGGGATAGGCCAGGGCAAGAATCGATAGAAGATACTCCACCACTTGATGGGTCCTTGGATCAAGAAGAGGACGTCCGCCTCCATATAAACGAATGATCGTTGAGGGTGCCTAGCTGCGTCAGTCACCCCATATGGCTAGCGCCTAGGGGGTATGAGCAAAAGGCGGAGTTGGTCCTCAAGCCTTTTCAAGAGGAAGACCCATGGGGTGGCAAGAACGTTCATTGGATGATGGAATTGGCACTTGCAGGCACACACAGTTTGGCGGAAGAGGTAAGGACAATTGAGGAAGGCCCTACTCAAGTTGAGGAGCACGAGCAGTTAATGGGAGGAATGTATCTCATAACGAATACACTTCTACAGGGAGACTTTGATCGAAGGGGCTCGTTGAACCCAGTCGAAGGTGAGGGACCTGTACCCGAAAGCCAGGACGATGAGTTTAAAGACGGAGAGATCAAGGAGGCGTTTCGGGCGGAGGAGTATGATGGGATCTACCGGGAGTTAGGGTTGCTCCTATCGTGCGAGATAAGGGATTCTGATGTCAGTGATAAGGCACAAAGGGCGAGACACCTCTACGTGGTGAGAGATRGCCACTYRTTTATAAAGCGGCAGRTCGRAAATCCCAGGCGGGTTGTRTGTGGGAGAAACCRGCAAATCGACATTATCGCGGCGTTACATGATGGTATAGCAGGGGGGCACAGAGGGGTAAGTGCCACATACGACAAAATAAGTGGGCTATACTATTGGAGTGGGATGTTGGAGATGGTTATCAAGTACTGTAAGTCGTGTGTGCCTTGCCAGGAAAGATTAGCGTAAAGACCAGGGGAGCCCCTGCATCCAAGGTTGGAAAGAGACGTAGGCGCAGTGGTGCATTTGGACCTGCTTTTTATGTCGATAGGGGACCATGGGTACAACTACATCTTCGATGCGCGAGATAACCTCACTTGGTTCGTGGACGGTCGGGCCATATGAACGAAGACCGGCCCAGTCCTGACCAGCTGCATCGAGGAGTACTACTTACGTTACCCCTTTGTCAAAGAGTTCGTGATGGATCGAGGATCGAAATTTACATGTCAAGAAGTGCAAACCTTGCTTGCGGGATATGGTGTGGGGGCAAATTATACCACGACAGCGCACCCTCCGGCGAATGCGCCAGTGGAAAGAGGGCATAGCACCATCACGAATCTCCTTGCCAAGTGGACGGAAGGGAGGCCCAACCAGTGGCCGAAGTTTTTGAGGGCAGCGTTTTTTGTCGAGAATATCACGGTAAAAAGAACTACCAAGTAAGCGCCAGCCACGTTGTGGTATGGAAGGCACGCTACCTTCCCTATTGAAAGTTTCTTGAAAACCTGGAGGCGCCAGGATTTGGAGACCAACCTGACATTCGAGGAGTTGCTTGATATTCGGGCACGACAAGTGGGAGCTACCGAAAAAAGGTTGCGGGAGGCCGCTGGTCAGGTAGAGAGGAGCCGCATGGAGGACAAGATGAGATGGGACCAGATGGCACGCGTAAGGAAGGACCCGCGGAGAGTTGGAGATACAGTGTTGTTATATAACTCCTCGCTGGAAAAGCAATGGTCCGGGAAGCTCGATAAACGGTGGTTGGGACCTTATAGGATCGTGCGGTGTGGCGAGTTTGGGGCCTATCAAATCGAGGAATTGGATGGGGCGAAGTGGCAGGACTGGGTATCAGGGACAAGACTGAAAAAGTTTGTGGCCAGAGAATAGGTAAAGGACCACGAAACCCTTAGAATAGAGCCTTGCCCAGATATCATACATTTTAGCTGGATCGGATAGAGGGATGTCTGAGTTGGATGGGTTTAGAATGTGTGTGGGACTCTTCCTAGGCCGCTAGACTTGGTTGCTGACCCTGCTGTGTGCCTGTTTGCTATCTCTCGCCTGTTGTGCAGGTCTGACTTCTCGAAGGCAGCCATGCAAGAAGGGCGGGAGGGACGCACGGTCACGGCAGGGGCCACAAAGGGCATCTAGAAGGGGCGAGCAACGCAAGCCGCCTGGGAGGGAGCCTACGCCCGAGTTTGACAACGACAATATAGAGCTCTTCCTGGACGTGTATCGGGACCATGCGGTATAGAGAGGATGGTCAGTGGCGGAGATGATTCAACATTTGAGGGGAATAGGGCGGTTTGAGGAGCCTCTCGCTCAGATATGCGAGGAGGCCCTGACGTGGCCAGATGTTGAGGCCGGGATGCAGAGATTGAGAGCTTCACCCATGGGACGTGATGGCACGCCCATTCGGCTAGAGGAGGGGAACGCGGAGGAGTTTATTCCCGCGTATGACCACTATATGCTGAACCAGGGGATTGCGCAGGAGGAGTGGATGCAGACCCTACTTATCTGGATTAGGAGGGCAGAGAGGCCAGTGACCAGGCAGATTCGAGAGAGAGCGTGGGACTGGGAGGACTGTCAGGCTCAACTTAGGAGGGTGTTCGGGCGACCAGAGTGTGAGAGGCCAGAGCCTAGGGTCGAGAGGCAGAGGCGAAGCAAGAGGCCAAGAGAGCCAGTGCCAAAGGGGGCGGAGGTGGCCAGAGAGGGAAGGAGAGCCCCAACGCGGCGAGAGGACGAGCCCATGGAGCCCGCGCCGGAAGAGGAGCCGTTCCCTGCTTGTGGTCTTAGGCCAGTCGAGTTTCGGCGGATTACGAGTGATGAGTTGCGGCCACCTTCGTCGCCGCTATCAGGGCAGGAGCAGGACGTGCCAGGGGAGACGCCATTCCGGGACTTGGCGACTCACTTTGATATATCTCGATGGGAAGCCTCACGGTTGGGGGAGGGCTCAGCCAAGCCAGTGCGATATGTACCAATAGAGGAGCCTTTAGACCCCGAGGCGGAAGCGGACATACAGGACCGAGGGGAGCCACAGGATCCTAATATGGTGGCCGAGCAACAGGGTCAGGCGCGACTTCAGGCTGAGGAGGTGATTACGGTTGGAGACGACACCCCTCCAGGTACCTCAGTCCCTGGGCAGGCGCGACAACCCTGGCCAGAGGGGATTCCTGAGCCGGATAGCGAGGAGATTCCAGAGTTCCCCCCAGAGATCGCTGCTTTGCCTGAGCAGGGGACAGAGATGAAGAAACAGGGGGCAGGGGAGAGAGTGAGGGTGAGTGCGATACCCGATTTGTCGTCAGCCATGTATATGGCTGAGCGTCCAGGTACCGAGGGGCCTGCGCCAGTCGAGCCGCCGTCGGCGTTGCCAAGTATGAGTGGAGGAAAGAGTGCAGGGGCGTTAACTCCAAGGGGCCGTGGACCGCGAGTGGGAGGAGCCTCAAAGGAAACCCGCAAAGAAAAGTCCGCCAGAGTACGAGTCCGTCTGGCTGAGATACACGCGAGACAGGCTGAGATGGAGGCGGCAGGGATAGCGTCGACACCGCCAGTCGATCCCCAGACGAGTGAGCAGAGGATCGACGAATTGTGGGCCAGGTATGAGGGCCAGAGGGATACAGCCCGCCAAAGATCGCGAGAGACAGGACAGGCGGACGAGAGGGTGGATGAGTTGAGGGAGGCGAGGGACTTGGGATTCTCTGCCACTAGGATGACGATCGAACGTGTGAATGGGAGGATACGCGAAGTGACAGGTACATCCTTTCGTCAGTATAGTCTACTAAGTGATGAGCTGGCGGCCAGAATACTGGAGGTGAAGCACCTGACTACTCAACTCGCAGAGGAAAGGGCAACGAGCCAGGCGAGAGAGATTGCGTGGGAAAGAAGGTTCGGAGAACTAGCAGCTATTGTAAATAGGCTTTCGGCGGCCGGGGTGGCCGAACAGACTGTGCGGGCTGGCGTTGATGTCCAGGATCGAGGGACGCGGGTTTCGCCTGGTAAGGGAACGGCAGTAGAGCCCCCTCGACAGAGGAGGCCGACAGAGGAGGCGTCGCGGGATCCGATCGGGATGGAGGCGATACAAAGGGTTGAGGAGGAGACTGTTGGGGTAGGAGCTTCTATTGAGGTGGCTATGCAGCCTAGGGTGTCTCCATCACATGAGGCCTGTGCCGAGGGGCTGGTCCAAGGACCCCCGTATCCGCTCGCAGAGGGAGGTAGCGCACAGGAATCGCTCATGGCTATGTCTGATGAGAAGAGGGGGTCGCGCCTGCATGAGCTGGCAGCAACTATGGGGATAGGTACACCACAGGAGAGGCCCCAGAGACTCGATACTCCAGAGTATGCCCCGAGGTTGGGAGAGTTGAGGGCGGAGTTGGGCTCCTGGGCCACAGGGATTCACTCGGGAGGGCATAGTTCAGAGCAGCAGCAGCAGGAGGTCATGAGTGGGCTAGCCGCTGCATTGGTTCCTCAGCCGTCAGGGCCGTGTGGGGATGAGGTGATAGCTGTTACGGAGAGGCCCTGCGAAGGGGGGCCCCAGAGACTGGATACGCCAGAGTACAGGCCAGAGAGCATAGTTGCACGGGGTGCTGAGGCCGTGGAGCCCAGATCTCAGGGCCACATGGGATTACCATTGTGTCATGAGGTGACCACCGAGACCATGGGGACGCCTTCAGCATCGAGTTCCCGGGGAAGGAAGAAGAAGAATGCAAGGTGGTTTGACACGTCCTGTTTTTGGTGTAAGGAGGAGGGGCATAGAGCCTTGGATTGCCCGGAGCTCCTCGAGGACAAGGCCGAGTGACGTGTTGCAGAGGTTACTGGCAGGTTCTACGATAGACAGGGAAGGATAGTAGAGCGAGCTCCAGATGGGGGTGGGCACAACTATATAGACAAAACCAGGAGGAGTTGCATGAATAGGGACTTGTCTGTCTATAGGTAGCTGGATCAAAGATTTTGTGCACACTGAGGACGGGTTGGAGGTGTATATATCTTGGGTTGATTGAGTGGGCCCTAGGTATGTGCATACTTTAGGAGTGACAAGGCGAGTTCTATCCGATTATACGTATACATTTGATTTTGGTTGTTTAATTTCTCTTGAGCTTCTTCGTGGGCCACGACCCAGGAGATGGGATTTGGCCATGTTATATATGAGACCACTTAGTTTACATTTGGGTTTGTGATTCAAAGATTTATTTGCGGTTTTTAGTGAGATTTGGGGGTTTATAGCACTTGGGATGAGAGTTTTCCCAACAGAGCGAGACAAGGGCTGGATATTCCTTGGATTCTAGGCAGATGTTGTGTTCCCGAGTATATTCAGCGAGTGTACAGTAGGGTCGTGAGTCCTGCTCAGACGAACAGGGCCTTGAGATGAGTGTTTGTGTTCGAGTTTGAGGAAAACATTCAACTCCCTGACTGTACCATGAGTTTGAGATTCGATGAGATTTGCCTTGTGACGATCACTACTACGCTCACATGTGTGGCTTTATCCTGAGGTGTGTTTGGCTTCGCATGGGAGATGTGTATGATGCATCTCATGTGTATGTTTATGAAAATTGTAAAGTTGTCTACCCTCCGGTATACTCGTGCGGCCTGCTTACGAGTAAATGACAAGGCAGGGTATAAGGAGGGGGAGTGCAACCTGTCTGTGAAAGATTATGGGAATCCCACGAGATTTATGAGTTCTGAGACTTGAGCGCCTTGCCAAATGATTGTCGTCTGAATTGAAAAAGAGGCCCAGAAGTTGGTCCCTCAGCCGATTTGTTTTATGTTTAAGAACCCCTTCATGATTTTTGGAAGGTGGTGGTTGTGTTATGATCGGGGCCCCTTCATGGGTTTGGAAGGTGGCCAAGTTTGCTTATTGAAAGACTCATCTTTGAAAGAAGGTGTTCAAAGGGGGTGACTGTGAGACTTTTTGTGAAAGGCACCCTTACCAAGTTAAAGGTGGGTAAAGATTGAGTGGCATGGAAAGCCTTGGTTGTGTTGATAAAGTCTGACGAGAGGGAACCATGCTTGCTTAGAATGTTTGAAAAAGTCGCAATGAGTGCAGGGCGAGAGGTATCTCAGGATGGGTGACTACTGGTAAAGATTGAGTGGCATGGAAAATTGTTCGTGGCTGTGCGAAGGATGTCGTGCCTATTATAAGGGAGCTGGTAAATGCCTTCAGACCCCTGCGTAGTCCCGCAGTGGCCTGTGATTTGTTTGTGACGCCCCGTCTGACCACTTGTACTGATTGTGAGACATATTTGAAGGAATACCAAGCTAACGATAAAGTTTAGTACCACTTGGGCGCAACCCCCAGTGGGTGGCTGCTAGTTGACACAACCTGGCTGCGGGCCCGCCGGGTAAGAGTTTAAGGGGAGTTGTCCGCCCGAGGGAAATTACTCCGTGGGATAAGAGTCGAGTCTTTTAGGAATCCTGATTGATTGATTATCAGGAACATACCTGTTGTTGTATAACCAGCGAGAGGATACCGCCGCTAACGTAACAATGCGGTGGGCCGTAGACCTGGTCCGATCAACAAGGTTATGGTGGGCCAAGACGGAGACCTGGCGTTTCTGTACTAGACTGCAGAAAAGGCTGAGAAAGGATGTAAGCTTACATATCTATATTTTGTTTGATTGCAAGGATTTTGTTGGAAGAAGGCAAGAATGCCTTCATAGGTCTCATTTAAGGCCCGCGTCAATAGTTATGGCTCTGCTTGCGAGGAAGAGACTAACTGGGATAGCTAACGAGAGGCCGACGGTTGTCTAGGACAAAGGGGAGAGGATGGCTTTGAGGGCCCTCGGAACTTATTGTGTAGTATCGATGCGTGATACACCATCGTCCCAGTGTTAGAACAATGGAGACCCAGGTTGAAACCCTGGCAGCATATAGTTGTGAGGGCACGGATTGTTAGAGGCCTCGAACCTGAGTCTGTCGGTTGATCGGATTGGTTCTGCTCTCGTCAGCGTTTGGAGTGTGAATGAATTTATAGCTTTCTGATTTGGCGAAGCGATGGGGACGTCGCTTAATATGGTCCGGTAAGTTGTTGGCGCGAATACCCTTACAAGGGTATCCGCCCTGGGTTTTGCAAGTGACAGGAAGGCTTGGTTAACTTGGATTCTTGAGTGCCTATGCAGAAAACGCGGGGGCCGCCCGCACGCAGGCTAAGGGTTGTCCGAGTAGGATGGGTGAGTGGGCGCACAGTTTTAAGGTGCACGTGTGATTTTTGCCATTCCAATTAATTGAGACGTCGGACGTAATTATCCGGCCCGATCTTTGTATGTCGATTAAACTAAGGATTAAGAGGTACTGGAGTTGTTGGTGCCCGACACCTTGCAAGTTCATGACCTGAACCCGTCAACTGTGGTCGGGCGGAACACCCAACCTGGTGCACGAGAATTGGCAAGTTGAACCCACAACCCGTCAGTACCCCTGCAACGGGTGTATCGACCATTTTCCTTCCCGAAAGTGCCTCCTTGGGTTGACAAATAACAGTTAAACATCGAATCAATTCGTAGTTATCGGTGTTTGACAGAGCACCTTACGGAAGTGTGAAACAGTCGTTGGTTGTGTGTGTGGATTGCCATTAGCAGTCTTAGGGAACCTTGATGCCAGATCAGATTCTTGGTACAGAGACAGAGAGAGAGACCGTGATTGAGAGAGAGCAGTGTTTGATGCTGAAGTCCGCCACTGGGGCTAGTTTAGAGAGAGAGAGAGAGAGAGAGAGAGAGAGAGAGAGAGAGAGAGAGAGAGAGAGAGCGTGATTGAGAGAGGGCAGTGTTTGATGCTGAAGTCCACAACTGGGGCTACGTGATCGAGAGCGATAAATAGAGAGAGAGAGAGTGATTCTGAGTCATGAGCGCGCGCGCGTGCGGGAGAGAGAGAGAGAGAGAGAGAGAGAGAGAGAGAGAGAGAGAGAGAGAGACCGTGATTGAGAGAGGGCCCGAGCTCCTTGCTTTAACCCGGAAAGACATTTTCAGATACTAGTTGAACAACGAATCAATTCGCAGTTATCGGTGTTCGACAGAGTGGCTTAGGGAAGTGTCAAACCGTCATTGGCTCTTTGTGCAAATTGCCATTAGCACTCTTAGGGAAACTTGATGCGAGGTTGATGTTAGGTCGTGATCTGTTTGGTGACTGAGCACCTTCAAGAAGTGTCAAACAATCGTTGGTTGTTTGTGCGGATCGCCAACAGCTTTCTTAGGGAACCTTGATGATGGGTGTGGATTTGCTTCCCGCAGGTCAGCAGTTGTTGGGTAGTCTTTGGCGCTCAATCGCAATCGGGGCTAGTTTGGTGGGTCTGTGGTGGGCCTTCCTGTTGGACCTGGATTTGTTTCGAGCAGAGTTTCGCACTCCACAAACAAAATTGAACTCCCGGTCCCGCAGGTTATCAGTTGTCGAACATTCTTTGATGCTTAATCGCAACTAGGGTCAGGTTCGTGGGCCTGTGATGAGCCTTCCTGTTGGACCTAGATCTGTTTTGAGCAGAGTTTCGCACTCCACAAACAAAATTGAACTCGAGGTCCTGAAGGTTATCAGTTGTTGGGCAGTCTTTGATGCTTAATCGCAACTGGGACATAGGTTTGTGGGTCTGTAGTTCGCCTTCCTGTTGCACCTGGATCTG